CAAGTCAAAGTTGCAAGTTATCTAGTAGTGGTCTAGGTCAACAGTTATAAGCTATCCAGTAATGGACTAGACTAACTGTTGCAAGTTATGTAATAGTGGTCTAGGTTAACAGTTACAAGCTATCCAGTAGTGGTCTAGATCAACTGTAGCAAGTTTTCTAATGGTGGTTTAGATCAACAGTTGCAAGTTATCCAGTAGCAGTCCAAGTCAAAGTTGCAAGTTATCTAGTAGTGGTCTAGGTCAACAGTTATAAGCTATCCAGTAATGGACTAGACTAACTGTTGCAAGTTATGTAATAGTGGTCTAGGTTAACAGTTACAAGCTATCCTAGTAGTGGTCTAGATCAACTGTAGCAAGTTTTCTAATGGTGGTTTAGATCAACAGTTGCAAGTTATCCAGTAGCAGTCCAAGTCAAAGTTGCAAGTTATCTAGTAGTGGTCTAGGTCAACTGTTGCAAATTATCCAGTAGTGGTCTAAATCAATAATTAAGACCACTATTACACAATTTAAAACAGTTGATTTTCACCACTACTGAATAACTTTTAATTGTCGATCTAAACCACTATTGAATAACTCGAAACAGTTGACTTACATTATTATTAGATAACTGGCAACTGTTGACCTTGACCACTACTAGATAAGTTGCAACTGTTGACATAGACCACTATTAGATAACTTGAATCTTTTGGTCTATATTACTACTGGATGACTTGCAAGTGTTGACTTAGACCATTGACCTTGACCCCTACTGGCCACTATTAGAAAGTTCCAACAGTTGACTTAGGTCACTACTGATTATCTTGTACCTGTTGACCTAGAACACTAATGGATAAGTTTCAACTGTTGACCTAAACCACTAGTGGATAAATTGTAAACATTGATTTAAACAATATATGGATAACTTGCAACAGTTGACGTAGGCCAGTATTAAATAACTTGCAACTTTGGACCTAGACCACTATTAGAAAACTTGCAACAGTTGACCTAGACCACTACTGGATAACTAGTAACAGTTGACCTAAACCATTACTGGATAATTTGCAACTGTTGACCTAGAGTGATACTGGATAACTTGTGATTGTTGACCTAGACAATTAATGGATAGGTTGCAAGTGTTGATATTGTCCTGAACTGCTAATTCATAACTTGCATCTGTTGACCTAGACAATTCGTGGATAACTTGTCCCAAACTACAAATAGATAACTTGCAACTGTTTACCTAGGCCATTGCTGGATAAGTTGCAATTGTTGACCTAGATCATTACTGGATAACATGCAACTGTTGACCTAGACATCTATTAGATAACTTCCAACAGTTGGTCTAGACCAATCTTGAATAACTTGTTGGCCAACTGTTGCAAGTTATCCAGTAGTGGTCTGAGTCGACAGTTGCAAGTTATTCAGCAATGGTCTAGGTCAGCAGTTGAAAGTTGGCTATTAGTATTGTAGCATAATATCGACACTTGCAAGTTATCAAGTAAGTGTTTAGGTCAACAGTTGCAAGATATCCAATAATGGTCTAGATCAACTGTTGCAACATTTCTAATAGTGGTCTATGTCAAAAGTTGCCAATTTTCTAATAATGGTGTAGGTCAACTGTTTCGAGTTATTCAATAGTGGTTTAGATAAACAACTAAAAGTTATCCAGTAGTGATGAAAATCGACTGTTTTGTAATAGTGGTCTAGGTCAACAGTTACAAGCTATCCAGTAGTGGTCTAGATCAACTGTAGCAAGTTTTCTAATGGTGGTTTAGGTCAATAGTTGCAAGTTATCCAGTAGCAGTCTAGGTCAACTGTTGCAAATTATCCAGTAGTGGTCTAAATCAATAATTACAAGTTATTCAAGAGTGGTCTAGACCAACTGTAGCAAGATTTCTAATAGTGATCTAGGTAAAAAATTGCAAGTTATCTAGTAATGGTTTAGGTCAATAGTTGCAAGTTATCCAGTTGTGGTCTAGGTTAACAGTTGCAAGTTATCCATTAGTAGTTTAGGACAATAGCAACACTTGCAAGTTATTCACTAATTGTCTAGGTCACCAGTTGTAAGATATCCAGTTGTGGTCTAGGTCAAAAGTCACAAGTTATATAATATTGGTCTAAGTCAACTGGTGAAAGTTATCCAGTAGTGGTCTGGATTAACTGTTGCAAGTTTTCTAAAATAGTGGTGTAGGTCAACTGATGCAAGTTATCTAGTAACAGTTTAGATAAACAGTTGGAATTTATCCATTAGAGGTCTATGTCAACGGTTACAAGTTGTCCAGTAGTAGTCTAGATCAACTGTTGCAACTTTTATAATAGTGGTCTAGGTCAACTGTAGTAAGTTATCTAATTGTGGTCTAGGTCAACAGATGCAAGCTATCCAGTACTGATCTAGGTCAACTGTTGCAAATTATCCAGTAGTGGCCTAAATCAATAATTACAAGTTATTCAAGAGTGGTCTAGACCAACTGTAGCAAGATTTCTAATAGTGATCTAGGTAAAAAATTGCAAGTTGTCTACAATAGTGGTGTAGGTCAACTGATGCATGTTATCTAGTAATGGTTTAGGTAAACAGTTAGAAGTTATCTATTAGTAGTTTAGGACAATAGCAACACTTGCAAGTTACCAAGTAAGTATTTAGGTCAACAGTTGCAAGATATCCAGTAATGGTCTAGGTCAATTGTTGCAACGTTTCTAATAATGGTCTAGGGCAAAAGTTGTCAATTATCTAATAATGATCTAGGTCCACTGTTTCACATTATTCAGTATTGGTTAAGGTCAGCAATTATATTGTTACGACAGCGGAAGTCACGTGACGCTAGTAACACGTCATGATATTCTCGAAGGTTCTTGAATGCTCGAGTGTTTACTAGATGTGCGGTATTCTTGTATATAAGACCACCAAGAAGTGACGGCAACAATGTAATTGAATTGCAGACAGAGATAGAGACGACAATTGAGTCAAGCACGTGAATCGTTCGTTTGTTGTGAATTATAGCGTTTGTTTAAGTTATAGTGTGACTGTGGAAATTAAGTGTATTGCAAAGTTGTATTGAGAACGAATAAATTAGTTTTATTTACAAAAGGACTTGCGTCGCTTAAGTTTCATCGGAAAGAAATTATACGGGAAATTAACTAACGTCCAGAGACGTAACAATATGTTATCCAGCATTTGTCTAAATCAACTGTTTTAAGTTTTCTAATAGTGGTCTACGTCAAAAGTTGTAAATGATCCAATAATTATCTAGGTCATCAGTTGCAAGTTATCCAGTAGTGGTCTAGGTCAACATATGCAAGTTATCCAGTAGTGATCTAGTTCAACAGTTGTAAGTTATCTTTTAGCAGTTTAGGATAATAGCGTCAATTGCGAGTTATCCAGTAGTGGTCTAGGTCAACATATGCAAGTTATCCAGTAGTGATCTAGTTCAACAGTTGCAAGTTATCTTTTAGCAGTTTAGGATAATAGCGTCAATTGCGAGTTATCCAGTAGCGGTCTAGATCAAATATAGCAAGTTTTCTAATAGTGGTCTAGGTCAAAAGTTGCAAGTTATACAATAGTTGTGTGGGTCATCAGTTGCAAGTTGTCCAGTAGCAGTCTAAGTCAACTGTTGCAAGTTATCTAGAAGAGGTCTAGGTCAACACTTGAAGTTATCTAATAGTGGTCTAGGCAAATTACTGAATGCATTTCCATGTTGTGTGTTACCCTAAGGAAGAGGTAGAAAAAGTCAGATTTTTTAAGAGCTGTACGTTTTCTTTCCAGTTCTTATGCATGATACTTTGATAGTTATGGTTAGATGAAACTTACTTGACACGTTTTTTTTTAGTTTACCTCACTTACCTACTACAACACACATCGTACATATTTAAACACACTTACAACAATACACGTCGTACTTATTTCAATACAGTTACACCAACACACATCGTATTTATTTTAACACACTCACTATAATGCACATCGTACTTTTTTAAACACACTTACTACAACAGACATCGTACATATTTCAATACAATTACTCCAACACACATCGTACTTATTTCAACAAACTTACTAACACAACGACAGAAAAATCGCCCGAATTGAACATGTCCGAAATGTGAAGTTGAGCAAATTGATTAACAACTTTTCTGACAGTTTGATCCTGATAATTTGATTGTGAACCTCACTAATATTACACTAAGTAACCAATGTAAATCTACATTAGATAAAGGTATTAATTTCTCTCTTCCTCCGCGAAAACAGAATTATGCTAATTTTCTTTATCCCTTCGAACTGCTATACAGAAACCTGAAAGACCTTACTACAACACATTTTTTTTCAACACACATGTATAAATCTT